CTCCGTTCGCCATGCGGAAGCTACCTGAGAAATATTAAGTGCGCATGCTCATCAGTTAAACTCGTGGTGAAGAAAGCATGGCGGCTGAAGGCGATCGAAGGAAAAAAGCTCTTCTGTTCTATTATCTTTGAAAACAGAGACGAAAAAGGAATAATTTGGCCCGTAGAGCAGCAATGAATCGACTATCTACGGAGATAATATCACCAGAGATATTCACGGAAATATTAATGTTCGGAGCCGAGATTTAATTACTGTACCCCGCAGGGACGACGTGTGGGGAGGCGTGTGAGAGGCGGAGAGACTATTAAAAGATTAGGCGGTTTTTCTTTCATGTACGTCCGCCATTTTTAGGTCACCGGCTTTGTAAAGCCTGGCTTAATTCGTTGAGAATGCGCTCTAAATACTGCTAATAAATCATAAAACTTACTATCCAAAAATATGTCTCAAATGCCCACTTTAAAATAACCAGATTTTATCAAATAAGAACTCGCCACTGCAAAGATAATTGCATCTTCATGTGAAAAGCAACCAGACAGTCTGGTTTTGTCAGTTATCAGGCTATTTACAGTTTCTAGTTAGACCAGTACTGACAGTGGTTAATAACTCACCTGCTGTGTTGTAAGATCCCACTGATTTCTCTGAAAGTTGTTCTTAGAACTGAGAAATATTGGCACATCGTGGTCTGCTACCTCCAAGGCGTCTTCATGTGGAAGGACTAGCTTCAGGTGGATGGTGTTTGATTTATCTGTTAAAATGAAATATGAAAATGAATAAATCTGCACAGAAATTGTAACAATATTGAAATTATATGTATACATCTTCAGGGGAAGGTATGCATATTGTTGTAGCATTTTCATTTTCAAATGCAGGTGTTTGGTAAAACTGGAAATCATAACAATCAGGCCTATATACTTGTAGGCAGGGAAAGGGGTGTGATGTTCAAAAGAAACACTCCTTTTCGTCGGAAAGGTCCACTCTGAATCAAAATTTGATCCAGGTTTTACATCATTTTTCAAATTGGGCAAACTGAGGGGTTAATATTCCACTTTTTCAGAATATTTAACACCTCCTTTTGAAACTGCTGGCTACAGGCCTGACAATACAATAATATTGTTAAGGGCATATTCCCAATGAAACTATAGTTCTACATAGATCGATCCAACTCTGAATGGACTTTCAATGAATGCAGTCAGATTAACACTCCTAGTTTTGTTCCTATAGTACTCGTATAATCACCAGCTTTTCTGTATTGTACTCAATGCCAACTGGAGAGGTGTTAATCAGTTAATCTGATTTCATTCAGCGAGAGTCCCGCATAGGGACGATAGTTTTATTGCCAACCAGCCTAAAGACTCACAACAGACCACAAATGCTTTACTGGGTTAGTACTTGTATAACTGGTATTTATAACAATTATACATGTACACAGTAAGTTTCATAAAAAGGGGTTTTAAACATCTTCATTCCACTTACTTATTGGGATGTTACAGGTTCCAGACATATTGAGTTCAGAGAGAATTCTAGACATTATATTGGGTAGAGTAGACTTTTGCTCTTCATTGGACAGAAACTCATTTTCAAGCTGGAAGAAATATGGGAATATATGAAACATTGATTGTGTTAGGTGAGGCTGTTTAACACAGTTCACAACACTGAAGACGACTTTCCTCTGCCTAGTTAACACATTCTGTCCCCACTTCAGTGCACTGATACATAAAGATATTGTTCATTTTTTCTATTACTAGGGAGTTAAAGCCACACACTCAAATAGTAAAAATATAGTCAGGAGATATCCACACGTTTACCTTAATGACCATAATGAATGCTAGAGCCTAATCCAAATATAATCATCCAAGTTCTAATTGTTTCTAATATTTGAGTCTGTAGAGAGAGACTGCATGGATATCCTTAGTTACAGCATATATTACAAATACGGACTAGAAAACCAGTTTATAGACTAATAAATATGCTTTCTTTCTAAAAATTTTGATCTGATATAAATGTGCTATTAAATTCCAGGATGATAACCAGTATTTTTCACTATATAAAGGTTTATTACAGACTGTATGCCTTTAATAAAATAATATACTAGTAAACAGAATTATCAGTGTTGTCGACCATGTATGTGTCACTTGCCTCTAAGTTGGTGAGGTAGCCCGCCAGTTTCTTGACAATAATTTCAAAAGGAGCTGTGCTGGCTGTGGCATCTATAACCAGGCACAAGTTAAAGATGAGCATATTTCTAGGATACTTTGGGTTCTCTATACATACAGGACAGCCCATTATCTTGTGTCCAAGTGCATTGCTGAAATGAAAATAAATATAATTAATAAAATGTTGCGTATATAAGGCAATGACCTTCTAAAATGTGTTAAATCAGAAAGCTTGTGAAATAGAATGTAATACTAACAGTATCAGTATCTTAAAACTCAATAGCTCTTACCAGTCACAGAGTGCATGCAGTTCTCAACGACTTAATTATCTAAAATATATAGGTTTAATGGAAAATCTTTGGAATATTTCTTACATAGTGATTAGCCTGTTTTGTAGCTGAGGCTTTGTGATGATGTATACATGTACAGTATCAAATGCCTCTTTTGACAAATAGTCTTCAGGAACCTGAAATTGGAAAAATATAAGTAGACAAAGTGACATTATAACTTTTTGTTGATTTTAAAATCCCTGTATTTATTTGGAAAAAAAAAATCTTTAAAAAAATTAATGTCCAATAATATAATTCACATTAATTCCATGTCACTGCCAGGAATAGACTGAATTCAAACTTCAAGACTTAAAGCATAAATCATCACTATCTTTTATCATCACTGGGGTAGCGCTAACACTCGCCAATTTAGCCAAATGCTAAAACTGACTTAAATTGGCTAAAGAAAAAGGGCTTGATTTGACTTGTTTTAGCCAAATTATAACCATTTCCATAACAAACTGACAAAAATGTGATTTGGCTAAGCAAAAAAAAAAAAAAAAAAAAAAAAAATCCTAGCGCTACCCCAGCATCAGCTTCTGGTTAACAAAAAATGCTACATATTATGTTTATATTCAGGAATCTACAAATACATCAAACCACCATATCAGAGGTGTAAATAAAACTAAGCAAGATTTGGTTTAAGTCTAGCACTCTTTGTAATTTGACTAAGTCATATAATCACTGAGATACCCACCCCCACTAGACCCACATTACTGACAATTGCAGATGTAAGGTCATGTATATGCACAAGTTCAAGGACCAGGCTTTACAGTAAAATTGGAAGGTGTTTGTTATTTATTTACGCATATTCTAGAATAACTAAATCATCTCTAACTCTTTTTAAGTAATTTCCCTATACCTGATATGTAATTATCGGTCCTGCAGTCGTGTGGAATTCGGAGAAAAATATGCATTTGATTGGAGGCACACGCTCCATGTTGTTTCCTTCGAACTAGGTCATTTATGCGGCTCGTTCCCCAGTGTCATTTTGGTACATTGACGAACTAAATTGTGACTTTATTTTGCCAATAAATATCATATTTGAGCTTTTTGAACAATTATTATGTTAGTGATGATCATTATGTATGTATCATTTGCAATTTTTTTAATCAAGAATTTAATCTAAGGTATAAATCGCAATAGAGGGAACCAATCACTTATTTCCCAGAAGAAGGCTCCATCTGGAAAGACGGTAACTTGTCGGCAGATGATATTTCTGATTATTGAAATGGTTGCGCATTTTATAGTGGTGCTATTTACCTCTTTCGTTGTCTACACAGCATGGCCAGGGTCAAGTAAGTAATAATTTTGCGCTAGGATGCTAATCTTAGAGAGAATTTTAGTTTTTTGGTGATTCTGACACGTTGCTCTGTTTCGGTTTCAGTTCCCAAGTTCCACCTCATCATGTTTTTTGTTCACTTTCACTTTGACGCGGTGCAGGTTTAAAGATTTGTAAGAACTAATACACACTGCAACATTTATTTTGGCCTGAGCTTTTGGTTTATTGGGATAAGGGAGTAGTATTTCAGTTATTTTGCCCTCAAATTTAGTTTTTTAAAAGAAAAAAATCTCTTTCTTTTGTTCATCATCCATATTATGTACCTATGTTAAAAAAAAAAAAAAAAAAAAGAAAAAAAAAAAAGCTTTTTCCATGATATTTTAAGGCACCCGTATCTGTTATGATTTAGGTTCTATAGCCTAGCTTGTAAGTACAGTGTACTGGTATACCCAAAACAAGTGATTGTCAAGTCAAACTGGAGTATTACTCCTATTTGATCCTTCAATTTTGCTTTCACTTTTGTTTGGAACAACAAAAAAATCCCCTTTCCTCATAACCAACTTTGTTATTCATCATCTCAGTAGTACACATAATTTTTTGTAGTTTATTATTTCTGTGGCATCTTAAGGTACCAGTTTCAGTTATTTTTCTTAGTACAAATTAATGCAAAGACTAAACCACATCAAAGCAGGAGTTACAGCACACAGCAGTATGGGACATCTCATCTTCTAGACCAAGATTGTTTGTATTCTTTACAGAAGTGATGGCAAGAAGAACATAACAGAACTGTTCTGACTAACCAAAGGCAAAAGGATATTCAAGACTGCAACCATAACAAAATTGCCTCTAAACTGGAAAGACAATTAGCTGAAACCAGTCAACTTTCATGCTGAAAAGACAGTATCACAAGTGAGAAGTTCAGAATACGGAAGAGGAGATTTTCAAGTTTGTTTAAGATTTAAGTTGTATCGTTTTCACCCAAACCAAATGAAGAAACTGTTTGTAACGGTGGGCACGACCCAGTTTGATGACCTCATAAAGACAGTGTGCTGTTCTGAAATACTGTCAGCTCTACATAAGCTTGGTTACAGACACCTCACTCTTCAGACAGGACAGGGCAGTTATGAGCCAGACGTCACTCACTTCAAGGAGCTCAAAATTGAGGTGTATAGAAGAAAGCCCTCGATAGCAGATGACATAAAGGAATCTGATCTTGTCATTAGCCACGCAGGAGCCGGCAGCGTGTTGGAAACACTGCATGCTGGGAAACCTTTAATTGTTGTCATTAATGAGAAACTTATGGGGAACCATCAGATTGAGCTAGCTCATCAGCTGTACAAAGATGGTCATTTGTATTATGGGACATGTAGTGACCTTTTAAATCTTTTGACCAATATGGACATGTCCAAACTGAAGCCTTTTGAAGACGGTAACCCCCAGAAATTTGGAGATTATATTGATAAAGTGATGGGATTTGCTTGATTTAAGTTTTATAGAGTATGTGTTTTTTTGTATCATCATGATGTTTTATCCTCTACCGTGGTCACAGATTGATTTTTTTACTAAATAGTCACAGAATGATATGTCTCTGTCTTATTCATAACACAAATCTGTACTCTACCCTAGTACTTGCATTGAAGAAAAGTGCACGTAATTAATATGCAGCCCTTGTTGAGGGCAATGATGCTTACTCATTGTTTGTTAATGGCATTTTTTTCTTTTTTTTTCTCAAGGGGTTCAGTTGGAATTTTAAGCCAATTTAATGAAGTGCTACGACATATTTCTCTTATATGCAGCAGAAAATTAGATATTGATTTTTTGATCACATTAGCAAGGGCTAAACGGAATATTCTTCATATCGGATAAAAGATAGATGACAGTGTTGCTGTTTTTGCATGTTGGAAATGTTTGGTAGTAGTTATCACTTCAAGATTTCAGTTGGAATATTCTTGCTATTTTATAAGAAATGACTTTTATGAAATACTGATATTGGTTAACTCTTGAAAATGGGAACATATTGCTTTCATTTATTAGTATATTTGTAATGGCAATTCTTTTCTTTTGACATAAGATGAGACACCCTGTACTTTAATCACTACATAGTAATAAGACTTAGCATAATTACATGTACTTTAGTAGTTTTAATGTAGAGTGATATATAATTTTAAGATCATATAAGTTAAACCATCATTTATAAGTTTCATTTCATTGTAGGCTTGTTTTCATGGCATCCAACCTTGATGGTTGTAGCGGTGAGTAATAATTTTGAACTTATTTCATTTGTCAGATACAGTTGGTCAGATATGAAAATGAAATCTGATTAAGTTAAAGAAAACTGAATCACATCACTTGACTGACCCATAGATTTAAAAATTCCTCTGCTTCATCTCAACCTTGAACATTTTGTATATTCAGTTGTTTTGAAAAAGATCTCTACATATTATAAATCAAGTTAGCCTTAAAATAAATACATAACTGTGGCCGATAAACATAGTAGTAAAGACTAAAATAAGATCTAGGCCAGGGTTATCAGACTGCATCATGCCCAAGTTAATATGCTAATTTTTTATATCATTTTTGTTCTGACTTTGAATCATTCTGTATTTCCAGTTCACCTTCCTGATGGTGGAAGCCATCCTGGCTTTCTCACCGGAAAGTTCAATGTTGTCAAAAGCAGAGCACAAGACTAAAGTCATGGTCCACAAAATCCTTCAAATCCTCTGCGGCGTGTGTGCAGCCACTGGCGTTTCTGTTATTGTGTACAACAAGATCTTGCACAACAAGCTTCACTTTACCTCCTGGCACGGATTCTTAGGTATTATAACAGTGGGTTACCTGGTGATGCAGATCCTGATCGGGATGGTAGAGTTTGTATGGTTCCCCGACATCCTGAGGCCTTACATGTCCCTCTTTCAACAGAAGTTGCTTCACGCCACCTCTGGTGTTATATTGTACCTGATGGTTTCTGTCAGCCTCATGTTGGGCATGCTTTCTAATTGGTTCACTTCCAATGTCACAGGAAGTGCTTGGTACGTCTGTTTTATGTGTCCTCTGTGGCTTGCTCTCATTGTGGCCCTGCAGACGACAAATTCTTACGTACCAAGACTGAGGAATCGCAGAGGATGAACTGAGGAACAAGATGGATCTTTTTTAACATAATAATCACATGGTCTTTCATGTACTTAATTGATATTCAGCTTCTATTTGGATTTAGCATTTTAGGGTACGGTATATAAAAAAATGGCATATTGCCATTGAAGGTGGAGCTTTTGGTTTATAAATCTAGGTTCATATATTTTAATTTGTTTGCTTTTTAAACATCAAAGTATCTTTCATTCCAGCAAAAAGATTACATATCTACAAGCTATTAACACAAATTTAGTTAATTTTATATATTGATATGTGCAATATGAAAGCTTTGGTGTATAAAAACTGGACTGTTCATAATTTACAGTTGTGAGATTTCATTACTACTTGTTGATGTATTTATTATACTCTAAACCACAATGTCAATCAATGTGTATTTCGTATCCAAATATTGATACAACAAACTACTGCTTAAGGCACCTGCAAGCATGTGATATTTTTGTCACTGCTCAAAAAAAAAAAAAATTTCTACAGGTTGAAAAAAATGTGATTTTTATTTTAAATTTCTGTACTGTCTCAGAATTAAATTTACTAGAAAATTGCATGATAAACTCTACTGCTTAAAAGCAACTGATAGTTAATTGCTAGAATTAGGTGAAACACCTAGCTGGAGAAACTTTCAGTTTTCCTTTATATTATTGCACTGAGACTAACTATTAAGATTTTAAACAATTGGTGATGATATTACTTCGTTTTCTTTTAGAATATCACAAACTAATAATTCAAACAATTTAAGATTGCTCCATTTGGTTTCCACAATTATCCATATGACATAATTGTAAAATGTATTTGCTAGTGGACTAGGCTCATGATAACCTTGAGCAAAATGCAAGTACTTGTAAGCTTCTGGGTTTGCTTCACTATTCTTTATTAGTCAGATCTATTACCATGTGAAATCCATTTCAGCTGGCAGCTGTTGTAGAAATACTTGAAGGCAAAGTTCTCTTCACATTTATATACGTAAGCAGATTTAGTGTCAAATTGATATTTCAGTGAAATCCAAGAAATGTTTTTCAAAATATCCTTGGTAAAATTGACTTTGTTGAGGTCTTGTGACTGGATGTTTTCACATGAAAAATGTTTTAATTGTCCTTGCAAATTAAATTGAGAAAATAAAGCAACATAACATAGTAACAAAACATTCTTTTTTATTGTAAAATGCATTCTATTCAGATATCTCAACATTTGAATTTCAAATTGATTAATCTTTAAAAAATTCAAAATGGTCAAAATGATACAACTGCATCGTTAACAGAAGGGATGAAAATACATATATTTAAAAGTGAAATCTTTGAACACCTCAGGGTGCTTTTAAATGACAGCCTTGGGTATGTGATGTCATCTACTTCTGTTTCACCAATTAAAAATTGTAATTCAAAATCACAAAGATTTTCTTCAAATTTCAGTTTGTAACAGCCTCCAATTAAAAACTAGAAGTTATCATGATAAACATAATATTGTCTTCTCCACTTACTGACTCTACTTCTTTGGTATCAATTCTATAATTCTTTGACATATGAGAAGGGCTGGGAAAGTTCTGACAAGCCCCCTTCTCAAATAACTTCCTATAGATTTATGACAACATCATGTACTTGATGATAACCAGAAGTAAAATTCTATAACTTCACACTATCAACCAACCAAACTAAAGCATGTTACCATAAATCTCTGACAAGATTTACCAACTCTTGTTGTTTTCACTAATAAAAGGGCATCAAATCTGGTGTTGCAAACTCAACTAGGGCTATGTTTTTGTGTCCAATGCAGCTTATGTGCTTTGTTTCCATACAAAAAAAACACCACCACCTGCAATGTTTTGGAAAGCAGGATTAACTGCCTTGTTTCAGCCTACAGCAAATAACAGGCTATTGACATGCTATACTTCAAGCTTGGTCCAATTTCTCTTGCCTTTGACCATGCATGGACACCTATCATGTGCTCCATCCCTTTAGCTGGCTTAAAGCCCACCCAGGGTACCACCCTTTCTCCGCAGCAAGGAGAGCACTACTTCCTGCTGTTTGATCTTTTTTTTACCACCTGATGGCAATGCGGGCTTTTCATTGGTTCATATCTTCAGTTTCAGCTCCCTCCATCATCCCCTCTCCACCCTCATGTACAGCACCCTCACTTACTTGCTCTGCACCATCAGTTGATTGGCCTGTGAGAGAGAAAAATTAAAAAGTTACAAAGTTACATGCTTTGATTATGAATGGCTAAAAGCTAAGACTGCTAATTAAAATAGGAAGAGAGTCCCATTTATCTTGAACATTCATTAACTGTAACAAGGACCTGTTGGAGAGTTCTGGTGGGCACCCTGTGTTCTACTGGGAACGAAGAGGATTAACTAACTATTCATTAACTATCCCATGGTTTATGAAAATTATTAATTTTTGTCATTGAAAAGAGACTCAAATTTTGTTGCATATTTTCTTGCATTTATTGACTGTAGCATCTTAACAAAAGAAATCTTTAAAATAGCAATATAAAAGGGATATCTACACAACTGACAAGCATCTATAAAACCTTTTTTTAGGAAATACTACTCAACTAGGTAGAGTAAAACCTATTAATTACTCTTGTTTGGTAGTTTTTATTCACATTGGGAGACAGTCAAAACATTGTGCTCACTGGTCACACAAAATTCGGGGAGGCAATAATTTCCAACTATCAGCAGATTTCCGACTTTTTGGGAGCCAAAAATATCACTGGCCTAGGTAGCCCTCTGAACCCCACGCTATATTTTCCAACCAGACCGTTGCACTCAATGAGAGTTTCATCTCTGAAAATTACTTCATATTTCCTCACCTGCAAGTTTTTCAACATCTTTTGCTTCTAAGAAAGCTCTCTGCATAGACAACTTCTTTAATGTATGGCACTTATACTTCAGTTTGCTTTGATCACTCTCTGAAGATAACAACAAGCATCATATGATTGGGTAAAACAAGACAAAAATGTTGTTAATAGTCACGTAACAGTCATTATTACTAGTACACTACAACATTTGATTTATCCCCAACTTGCAACTGAAATTCACTTTCACAAAACTGAAAAGATTTTCAGTCTACTAAATATGACCAGTTGATTGATTTTTTTATGATGTTTTATTAAAAAAAAAAAACTATAAAATATGGTGCCCTTTTCTTCTGTGAAATCAACTATTTTTTTCATTAACTTATTAACCAAATACACCCTGGTTCTTCATCAAAAACAATCATGCACAAGCACAAAATTTAATTACTTTATAAATGCACTCACCTGTTGGTTCTGGCTCCATGATGATAGCAGCACCTACTGTGTCTTCATATTCACCTACAAATATATAGCGGTCCACCTGCATCACTGGCTGTTCTGTCTCTGCACCCTGGATAGACAATAAAAATATAAACATTATTAATAATTAGCCATTACTACTCGATTTTGATCTCAATTCAAATATCCTATTTTGTTATGTTATTTTTCATTTCGGTATCTTGATCTCCTCCCTCTAACAACAGCATGTCCTTCTCCATATTTATTGTGTTTTATTTACTTTATCAATATACCATTACCACATGTTGTATTCTAACATGATCAGAGTCTGAACAATCAGATTTTGATTCTTACCAACCCTTAGAGTGTGATACCTTAAAACCTGCGTTCACTAAAATATCCTTATTTAGGTTCAGAAACCTCCGAGAGAGATTGCAACATGCAGTGCAAAGTCTTCTTAAGAAGAGCAAAGCTGTAGACATCAAAAAGCCGTGAATTTCTAGCAAATTTTTATGTATAGAATTCAAATGCAGATTTACACATACAGGCACTATAATTTTACATACCAATATTTTGTATTTGGTGCCTTTTTTTGTGACAGTGTCATTGTCTATTATCCCCGACAGCTCAACAACTACAACAGCTTCCTAAAAAATAAAAACAAAACAAAAAAATAATAATAAAATAAAATAAAAATAAAAAATATAAAAGCAAATAAAGAAGAAGTTTTAGGTTTTATTTATCTTTAATAAAATGGCGGACGAAGCAATAATGTCTAGTTCCTAATATCTAACTTTAAAAAAAAAAGGATTGGTTCTTGTTCTCAATGTACTGGGCTGCAGCCTGCAGTCAACAAATTTGACGACTGACAGAAGCTGTTTCTTTAAGATGAATCTGTTTGGGGTATTTAAAAACCGAATTGTCACAATATAGAAAAAAATTGGAACTTTTTCTCTGACATAAAAACAACACCTGTAAATCCCACAACACACTTAGTACTTATGATTTACCTCTTCAAGTTCCCACTCTTCGCTCTCGGACATCATGAGTCCGTCTTAAAAACAAAACAAAATGTGTACCGATATATCTCAAGACAAGACGAATTCACAATTCTCTTAGACTCTTCACAGAAATCGGTTATGCATTTAATAAGACATACAATCAAGCCATTTTTATAAATAAATACGTTTAAAATCATCCGTCATTATTATGTCACGAGAATAATAATTGATTCTAACATGTTTTCAACACCCTTCCTTTTTAAATGCCCAAATGTCAAGCTGAAATCCTTTTTACATAAAATCCTCAACTCCATTAAAAATTGCGAATATTTAGTTATGGTAGCTAAAACTTTGTAACAGTTATGGTAGCTTTAACCACAACTTGATTTATATATTTAAATGTGCCATATTTCACTGTTTTTTAATGAAATACCCAATATAAACAATACCATATCAAAAATATAAGGGATGTAAAATTTGCAAAGTTCAGTTCATGGTGAAAAGTAGGTCAAAGGTCAATTTAAAGGTCACAGTTAGATTACCAGTATATAACTTCCTATTAAAGTTCAAGAGTAACTATGGGTGTATCTCTGCCAGTTTTGGAGATATAAGGGCTAGAAAATTTGCAAAGTTCAGTTCATGGTGAAAAGTAGGTCAAAGGTCAATTTAAAGGTCACAGTTAGATTACTTGTATATAACTTCCTATTCAAGTTCAATAGTAACTATCGGCGTATCTTTGCCAGTTTTGGAGATATAAAGATCAGAAAACTTCAAAGTGCAGTTCATCATGAAAAGTA